ACCGACCTAATCATACTTTAGTCCCATCATCCTTACACACCCACAGCCACTGGGGAGTATTTAAAAGGCAATGAGATGATCTGATACTGTGACGGGGACATGTCTGACGCCTCTCATTTGTTAAGGAAAATTATAATTACAAAAGAATAAAATTCCTGGGCCTACTTTCCACTTCACATCAGAGAAGGCCCAACTGCTACGCTCTTAGATGAACTGCCAACATACTAGGAAAGAAGAGCTCATGCATAGAGTGTTGCTAAGCAATGTTACCCCAATAAACTTAATAGGGAAAAAACAAAACAAAAAAGAAAAAGGAATGGCTCAGAAGTGCATCTTTTAAAAATAGAGCTCAAATTAAATGGGAAAGCTTAATGGGACAAGTAATGACACATGCTACCACTTAAAAAAAAAAAACACACATTTTCTGACACGGAGGCCAAAGAGCCCAGAAAACGACCTACCTCAACATCGTATTGGGGGGCACACCTGTTAATACTCCAGAGCGGAATGGCAAATGCCATTGTGGGGCGCAGGCCTGCTATACTTAATAAGCTCAAGTTCCCCACTCCGATTACATTTTTAAAAAAGTATTCCTCGTCCTAACAACTTGATTAAATTATTGAGAAGGGAATCCCGGCTATGTGTCCACGAAGCTCCCGTGCGATGAACCCGATCGGCAAGCTTCCACTGAGCTTCTCATCAGCTTCGCGCTCGAAGGCAGCCACTGAGCACATGTGCCGGCTGCTGCGACACTTCACGCCACCGCGAGTTCCTTCCAGTCCACGCACACGTGTGTCTCCTCCACGGAATCAGACTGACCCGTGTCCTGCCAAACCCCAAGCCCTCTACCTCTGAATCACAGAGGTCAGTGGGAAACGGAACCCCGTGTTCCACCACCGGCTCTTGGGGTGGGTCTCAGAAGGAAACAGATAGACTAGAGCAGTGGTTCTCAGCCTTGGCTGCACATTAGAATCACCTGGGAATCTTTTTAAAATCCTGATTTCTGGGCCTCATTCCTCCGGAAATTCTGTTTCTTTGTTACTCATGTTGTGGCCCCACCCCATAACAAAGAAACAGAATTTCCGGAGGAATGAGGCCCAGAAATCAGGATTTTAAAAAGATTCCCAGGTGATTCTAATGTGCAGCCAAGGTTGAGAACCACTGGGCTAGAAGGAAGCAGGTCATCTTAACTGAGCTTGAATATATTCTAAAACTTTCCCAAAAGACCATCTCATCTGCCTTCCCTTGTGGTCTGCCAGCTATTATACTTCAACCGAGCTCTAAGATTCCTTCAAGTCACACCACGTCTGACCTGCTGGCTCCTTTCTGTATCCATCCTCCTTCCTGACAGAATAACTTCCGCCCTGGCCAGTTTTGCTCAGTGGGTAGAGCACCAGGCCGTGAACTGAAGGGTCCCGGTTCTGATTCCGGTCAAGGGCATGTATCTTGGTTGCAGGCTTGACCCCTGGCCCCGGTCAGAGGTGCATGTAGGAGGCAACAACCAATCCATGTGTTTCTCTCACATCGACGTTTCTCTCTTTCTCCCTCAGTGTCTCCCCCTCCCTTCCACTCTCTCTAAACATCAATGGAAAAATATCCCCGGGTGAAGATTAACAACAACAAAAAAGAATAACTTTCCCAGGCAGTGCAGTTAGTCATGTCATTGTTTCTAATAAAATTACTGAGAAAAATATACAATTTCAACCCAATTAAAAATGCATTTGTGTGTTCTCAGCAAAGATAAGGAATAACTACCTATTAATAATTCAGCCAGGCACTCGATCCGGGGGTTTGCACTCAGTAATCTCTCTGTCGCTCCAACCGGCCGCAGGAGGGCTTTCCTGGACCCAGCACGCTCCTGAAATCTCCTTCCCCCCGTCCCCCCTGGCCCGTCGCTCCCCGAGAATGAGTGCTGTTCCCGACTTCCGTGGGAACACTGGTCACCGAACGCTCGTCTGACTTGATAGCCGGGGCGGCAGCACCCGAGAGAAGCCGTGGTCACCGCCCTGGAGCGTGAGGCAAGCTCGGCCTGGCTCTCAGGCAACAGCGGAGCGGCCGGAGAGGAACACCGTGGCCCCAAAGAGCCACCAGGAGCCCGGCCACAGCCGCTCCGAAGCCAGACACCTCACTCCCTCTCTCTCCTGGTGGGCGAGCCAGGCCCCTACGGTACAGAAAAGACTAAAAAAGCCCACAACCAGTGCTCTTCTCGGATTTTAACTCACCCTCCGAATAAACATGTAATTCTTGCCTGGAAAATAGAAGCATGTTGCTATTTTCTTATATAGGTATGTATATAGATAGATATAGATGTATATAGATATATAGCCTTACAGACATATAAATATGTAGATTTATAAGTATATAAATATGTAGATATAGATTGATTTCAGAGAGGAAGGGAGAGGGAGAGAGAGAGAGAAACATCAACAATGAGAGAGCATCATGGATCGGCTGCCTCCTGCATGCCCCCCACTGGGGATTGAGCCTGCACCCGGGGCCTGTGCCCTGACCGGGAATGGAACCCTGACCTCCTGGTTCATAGGCTGACGCTCAACCCCTGAGCCACACCGGCCGGGCCCTATGGCTATGTTCTTGCTGTCTCTTCACTAAAGGCCCTAAAACAAGTGACAACCGATAAACTAACTGGGAGTAACAGGCGATGCAGCCACCTGCCGATGTTTCTTGGGCAAAGACGTTCAAACAAGCAGACCGGATGCTGGAGCACCAGGGACAAGTCCACCTCTACCCGCCCAGGGCCGGCATCCTCTGGCCCGGTCCTGGCTCCCTGGGGCCCGGAGGCGAAGGCCCCGCAGCGCAGGGAGCACACACAGTGGAACCTGACCCGGCCAGCGCCAATGGAGAGAGTGCGGTGCGGGGCCCAAGGCTCCCCCTGCAGTCAGTCGCCCCAGGACTTAGCAGACACTCCCAGGGCCAGGCTGGCCTCCGGAATCCTCTCCTGCGCGCTCACAGGCCATCGGCCTCCTAACGCGCTCACCAAACGGGCCACCACGCACAGACTCACAGGGAACCCCGCCCGGCCTGCTCCGGGCAAAGGCGGCCGGACAGCGGGCAGGGACTCCCCACCGCACTGTCTTTGGGGAAGACCTGTTTGTTCGGAGGGAATTACATAACCGCACTCAGTGCTCCGTAAAAAAAAAAAAAAAGTTCTTGTCAACATTCCCGGCTCAGCACGACTCGCTCTGCGGCCCGCCCCCTCCCCCGCGGGGTGGGAAGGGCTGGGTCTGGGGTATCAATGTGGGTCCCTCTCACTGACCGGGCGGGGAGGCCTGCGCCCCGCA